TCCCTTCATATGCTTAGGACAAAGAAACAGATGAACTCTACTTCACCTGCCCTGTATCCTGCCAAGTTCAGATAGGCAACTTTATCATTCACATCTAAAAAAAAAATTGAAAAAAAAATATCATTGACATATAGGTCTAGAACCTGTGCCACCCGCATGAGAGCGGACTACGCTACCAACTTAGCTATTTACTCGTGACGTCACAAATGAATTTTTATACTATACTTTGAGTCTCCTTATGCAACTTGATTTACGCGCATAGATCTAGATCTAAGTCTAGTAGCAGTAACTTTCAAATTAAATTTTATCTTAAATTAGCCAAACAAAGATTTATATAAAATAATTAAGGCCTGAAATAGATTCTAGATGTAGAATTTACATTGTCTAGATCTAGAATTTACATTGAGTCTAGTGACCTAGATCTAGGCTAGATCTAGATCTAGGCTAGATTCATAACTAATTATCTTTCCTTCGACAGCTGATCTTTAGATCTAGAGAAATTTATTGTAAAACTAAATGAAAAAAGACAGTTGAAAATTGATATAAGTGTTGGAACGTAATAAATACAGCAAACGGACGTATTGTTAAAGTTATGACCGACAGAAAATTAGATTTAGAACGCGTTAAACTTTTGAATGGGAACACAATTTTCTTCGATAGACGCCGCCATTTTATTGTACTAAAGAGTAAACAAAAAACTGTGACGTCACGGTCCCGCCGAGTGTAGTGGTCGTTCTAAACTTTTAAAAAAAATAGGGTTACTCTACGTATGAATAAATCAATAAATTAATTAACGTCTTTAAATAAATTTGTGATTAACAGTCTGTCTGCATTAAAAAGTTATTCTCTACCTACATACTATTTTACAGCTCTCCAGATAGAGTAGAACATACCACAATACTCGATCGGACAAACAAAAAACAAACAAAAAAAAAACAAATAAATATTCAAACATGTAAACAAACTTGACTTTTAGTAGTATATAGATTTCACTCAATGCAACAAACCCGCCGGTTGGTTGAGTCTACACCGGGAGTTCGCTCTACTACGTAATAAAACAAAATTACTTTCATTCGCTGGTCAGCATCTTAAGAAGAAAATGAAAATTCCCAAGCTATTTACCAACGCATGCAGGACATGATATGACAGTGTGAATACACTTTGGAAAAGGCAATAAACACCTTTGAGATGAACAAACAGTTAAAACAGGAACTGGAAAATTATGAAAAATTAAGTAGAGAAATAGATCATAAAATCAAAGAGGCAACAACAAGAAAAGCTGAAGCTAAAACTGTAGTATGATGGCCTGGGTTTAGTCATGGATTAATGTAGATTTTACTTTCATTAATGACTATTGTTCACGCTGATAATTGTGTGCATTGAACTAGTAGTTTTATGCTCAAAGACCTGATATTTACGTTTAAGTGTGTTCTTTGTGGTCCTTCTTCCTATTAAAACACTAAAATCTAAGCATGGTCAAAAAAAGGCCGAGCTCGATAAAACGGGGAACGGAAAAAAGTCAGGAAACCCCCCCCCCCCCCCCCCCCCCCACCCGAAAAGTCAGTTTTTGCTAAGTAAAAAAATCACAGAAATAAAGACAGGAAAAAAGCCACAAAAATCTTGTAAGAAATATTTTGATTTAATAGAGAATTGTAAAATTTTGGTTATTTATTATTGTGGGTGTTTTTTTTAATCATAAGCTTTAAAAGCATAGTTTATAAACAATAAGTAATAAACCGGGAGTCATCTCCCCTAAACTTTCTCGAATATTCTTATATAACTCGGAATATAGACATGATTTTTATTACTTAAACTTTTAAAAATAGAATAGAATCTCGTAGAAAAAAAAATTGCGCACCAAGCGAACGCCAAAACAAAATATGCATAATAGTGCCGGATATTATTAGTACTTTATAAATTTACATGCGTTTTTTGAGAAATCGGAAATGGCGTAAATTACTACTTCCGGTCAACGGAAATTACTCAAAATTGATAGAAGGTAGAGAGTTAGGTGTTATACTAACATGTGAAATTTCATTTATCTATCTGAAATAATACTCGAGTTATAGGCTTTGGAAAATTAAAAGTAGAAAAAGTATCACTTCCGATTATCGAAAATCGCTCAAAAGTTGACACTTATCTACGATTTTGATAAGATACTTATATATGAAATTTCATCAACCTAGCTATAACGATACTCAAGTTATCGTGTTTACACACACACACACATTGACACACACACACAGACACACAGACATACGGACAAAATTGCAAAATTATGTTTTTCTGTATCAGTGAGGTGTAAAACGTCGAGATTTGCAAAAAAAAAATTTTTTGCACAATTACTAGACTTTCTCGATACTTCGTATATACGAGAAAGTAAAAATACTAGAAAATATTTTGCACAGCAATCTCCACTTTTGTTATTATTTAGTTCGTAGAAAAATTTATTATAAATGAAATTTAGGCACATCATTGTGTTTTGCCGTAGGCCTTTCCTTGTTTGGCTTTTCCTCAGTCGGCCTCGTCCGTCCATATTGTGTGTTGTTGACGTTTCGCGTCAATGACAGCCTTTGAACTGTGTGCCGGCTTTCTGTTTTTAACACGTTTTTATTAACTCAGCTTCGTGTGGATGTGTTTGTTGTTAAAATTGACATCGAAAATTAGCCACTTCTGATTGCTCTATAGACCTGAAATTTGGCATGCATGCTACTTTCGCCTCACAATTTCAGATGCAATCATAAAAACTAGCAATTAGAGACCGTAATTAGCTTAATTTAATTACGCCCCAAGGACCATAAAATTGAGGACATGATTTCTAAAGATACCGACAAGACTGGAGGCTTATCGACACAGTTACTTCGGCCCCAATCGATGTGAGCGCGCTGGCCGTGATCGTATAGTGGTTAGTACTTCTCGTTGTGGCCGCGACAACCCAGGTTCGAATCCTGGTCGCTCAAGATTTTTTTAGTCCGTGTATTTATAAACACTTAGTCAATTCATACTTAATCAAGTCATTAGATAAAGTAGAAAATAAACTATATAAAAAACTTTTTTAAAAACCACGTTTTTCATGTGTAGCAACGGACTAAAAAGGAGAAAATAAAATACTTAAAAAAAACTTTTTAAAAAACCACGTTTTTCTTGTGGACTAAAAAGTAGAAAATAACTATTTACATACATTTGATGACAAAAAACGTGGGTCGGGCAGATGGGTCGGGAAATTTGATGGTGAACGTACCCACGTTTTTTGTCATCAAATGTATGTAAATAGTTATTTTCTACTTTTTAGTCCACAAGAAAAACGTGGTTTTTTAAAAAGTTTTTTTAAAGTATTTTATATGAAATGAGCACAATAAATGTGGGCAAGTAAGGTTGTTGCTATGAATTGAGGACAGCAAGTCATATTAACTACGCACATACGCTACTTTATGTACGGATTTATGTTCCGAATGACATTTTTTTCTTAAACAATGTGTTATCATATTGCTTTTGGCACACTTAAAGCATATGTCGAGGAAAATTTTGTTTCATAAAATTTTAAGGGCCCAAACATATAATGGTAATTATAAGTACCGTCAGTAATCTTGGACATTTTTTCCAAAAATTAAAAAATTTACTAAACAGGAAAAAACGATACAATATATCAACTAATACCATGGCAATCATTATAACAATCATTTTTTTTGTAATTTTCACACAAAAACACCACAGCACACAAGTATATTTTACTGGATTTTCTATCGGACCACATCTTAGACCTCAAACACAGCAAAAGGTGCCGACATGTCATGCTCCCTCACTCATCAATTTTTGCAATAAAAATAAATAATAAATCTTACTTCTACAATATTTCTGAAGTAAACCCTATGCTAACCTTATAAATGGATAAATATTTTTTTAAAGTAATAATAATTTATCAAAATAATATTTATGGCACTCCACATAAAAAAAATCTGCTTCCAAGAAATCCTTAAAAAAATGACCGTGTGCCCTGACGGTAGGGATACTTATAAGTCCACTTGTATACATCGATCTAATACAAAGTCAATTTGATTAAAATTGTAAAACTAGAAGCTAGACATATTACCATGAGTATTGAAGATGACAATATAAAATATTGGGTGTTGAAAACTTGAAAAATAAGGTTAAATAAAGGGAAATCAGGAACATGTGAGATATGTAAAGAATGATTGTGAACTACCGATACAGGTAGAGATTGAAAATAGGGCCACAACAGAAATATTCAAAAAAACATGTTGCGATTGGATTAAGTAGAGCATGTAAGAAAAAAGGTGGTGTCAAATCGGTAATCATACTCAACTCTAGATTGTTTCTTCATTACCTTCACTTCTGTGAGTGATATTGCTTTGTTCTATTAGCTCGTATAGTTCCAGTTGCTCTGTAGCCCGAATAACGCAACTCGCATAACAAGGTTTGTAAAAAAAAGTTATCGACAGTAGGAAAATTTTCCAGAAGAGATTTAACTGCTCTAGCACCAAAGAGGATCAACAGAAACCTCTTTAGACTTGGCGCAATAAAACAAATCAAACGCGTGGCAGTAGCCATTTCAATTTATTAAAGTCCAATTCAATAACCAAATCGTATGGGTTTTCCTATAACAAATTGTTTGGCCAAAGTATTTTATCGTCGACTCATCCACATACAAGCTTTCATGAGCTGACATCAGTATCTCTGAATCTTGTGAATTGTCAACAAAATTTAGGTTTCTTTTGATTTCTTGAAATCTATTGTATGGCACTAATGGCATTCCAAAATCTTCATCCAAACTCCAATTAGCCCACTTAGTAGGCATTGTGATAACCTGTTAAATGTCTTCAAATCTGCTTGATTCATTTCAAAATTATTTCTGTTATTTTGATTTGCGTACACAATACCGTTTTCAACAATCATGTTTATTACACTTTCAATAATAATAAAAAAAACATTTTCGAACAACATTTAAAGGGGGTTGTAGTCTTTCATTAATTTCAAAATGGTATATCATCCCGCAAGTGTATTTTAGTGTAGCCCTACCATACCGCAATAATTGTAGAACTACGTATAAATACACATTTATCACATAAAGATACATTGACTGAGGCTTTCTAAATAAATGTTCTTACTTTTTAATATAGGCCTACTACTGATTCTAGAGACTAGTAATTCTTTATTTCTGTGTACCCAGATCTACTGTTTGCGTCATAATTTATTTTTTTAATTTTCTTTAAAAAGACTGAACCATTGCTCTCTTCTGATCAAACGTGTGTATGCCCTTTCATCGGACATTTTTTAAAATGTACAAAAATTGTTAATTTTATCAAAAAGTAAGAAAAGCCAATTTGAATGTAGGCCTACCTATTTTTGAGGTTTGAAAATATTGAGTCTGTTCTCTGTGTATGTATGTTTGTGTTGTTCAAAAGATTCTGTTTGTGACATATACTTTTACAGATATAACCTCTCAAATATGGCACTAGGGCAGGGTGTTGCGAAAAAAATAATTAAAAACCAACTTTTTAAAATATAACTTGTACCACCAATGCGGAATCGTTAGCATAGCTGTCAATTGCAGTTTGTGAATTTCAGTGTTTTTTTCTTTACTATTAAAAGGCTTTGTAAGAAACATGTGAGTAGCAGAGTGTTTTGTTTTAATTTTTTTTACATTGTTTGTTTCTTCAAAATTATTTAAAAACAAACATGAATTCATAGCTATCCACTTACAGACTTTTATTCAATCAATATCTTTAACTTGAAACAAATCGTTCAACAGTCTGGCTCAACTGGTGATCTGAAGGTAACTACACCTGTACAGCATTTATTAAATACTGCATCGTAGGTCAAGGTGCCGCAACACGAAGGTTTGATTCCTTGTCTTCGAATTATTTGACCTTGGCAACAGATTTGAGTTCTAGGTGAATATCTCTGGTAACCACATTGACCTACAAAAAGTTGAACATATGAACTTATTCGTTTAAAACTGCATAGCTATTTAATATAGACGCAAAAGAGAAAAAAGAACATGTAATTTTATTGCTTAGACGACTCATGACTGTGGAAGAATGTTAAAGGAAAATAAAAATGTATCAACGAAAAAGTGCGTATTTGTCGTTTCTAGACATACTGATAATATATTCTAGCTCTTATACATTCTAAATGCTATATGGTAAAATCGTAGGTAGAAATGAGGAGAGACTTGGAGGTTAAATTACAACCTTTAGTTATATTGTGAATTATAATATTAAAACGTTAGCAATATTTTTATATTAAAGGCATACAATATGTAGAGGAATGCTTACGGATGGGTTGTTCTAGAAAAAGAATTGCCTCAATTGTCCACTAGTTACAAGGTTTTTATTTAACTCGCTTCCTGCTTTTTTTTCTGTCGCCTGTCATCGATCGAAACTGGCAAATGAAATTTTGACCACTTCTTACAGACCAATTTCTCCTTAACTTGTTCAAGACCCAATGACATTGCAATCTGACATTGAATTTGACGTATTTGGATGTAATTTTTTTAAAGAATCAATTAAAATTTCCTATATAAAGAAGTATTTATTGTAACGACGCATATTTTGTTTTTTGTTTATTTGGTGCGCAATTGTTTTAGTCATGTCTCTATTGTATTAAACATTTTAAAGTATAAATGTAAAGGAAATTAATAAAAAGCGTTTTTAATAACAAGCTTTCATTTTAAAAAGTAGAAAATAAATTATTTTTTAAAATGTATAATAGATTACTCTTTTAAACATTTAAGGCCTTGTTTTTTTAATTAATTAATTTTCAATTGATATTTAATTCTTCTCAGGCTCCGGCTTGCCTTAAATCTAGTTAATCGGTTGATCATGATAAATTCATTGTATCCTCGAATGAGAAATTGACAAACGTGTTCTTTTGATAATACATAATAGAGTTGGAACCACATAAAAAAAACTAACAGACATAAAATATAGCTTTATAATGCATTACATTTTCAACGGAAGCCATGTTTGTTGTGAAATTAAATAAATAGAGTGTTCGTTATCCGTTTTTATAATTAATGGTGTGTTTCTAAAATAGAATATTTATCTGAATATTATTAATAATTTGAACATTTTTATACCTTCACTTTAAACAAAATAGTTTTTTTTTTTTTTTTTTTTTTTTTTTTTTTTTTTTTTTTTTACAAATATGTATATTTTAAAATTCCACACATATTGCAGATTTTCTGATCTATAGTTTGAACAAAATAAAAATAAACAAATAAAAAATTAAAGATACAACTTAAAAAACAAAATTGAGTTTTAATAGTATATTTGCTAATAGGGCTTGTAAGTAGGTCCCAACTTCTTATCATAATAGCCAGCTAGTATTTTTTAAACCAATTGTGAATATGTTTATTAAGTCGGTAAAAAAAGAAATAAAAGTTACGCTATTGTTAAGTTATTTAAAATCGTAAAAATTGATAATGAGAAGTAAAGAGACAAGCCCTATTAGAGCCACACTGACTCCCATTAATAATATAACTAAAATATATTATTCTGCAGCTTACTTCTATAATTTTGTTGGGATACTTACTTTAATGTATAATGGAAATATTACCGGATGTTTACTTTTATCATAAAAAAAAACCTTGTTATGTTAATATAAAAAAAATGCCGGCTTCTGGCCTTTCTTTTGTCCTACGAAGTTTCCAGACTGGAAGACCGTTTCTTTGTAGCCCCCCCTCCTCTCCCGGGGTAGGTCTACGACTTTGCGGAGCGGCAAAGCCCTAGAGTCGGAAAGACATATTTTCCTTATGGCCTAGCAATTTATCTAGGTAGGCCTACCAATAGAGCCTACCTTCTTATAAAATTTCCCTGTTTCTTTCTCACATAATTTATGAGGAAATATATCAAGTCACCTTTGACGGTATATACGTTTTTTTTCTGGAATTGGTCTAGACCTAATAAAATATCTTCGATAAAGAAGTTTGTTTGATATAACTGTATTACAAGTTTCCTTAAAAGATTATCCATTTTTTAGGTGTATGCAAAAAATTAGCCTGATGTATAGTGTATAATTACCCCCAAATTCTTATAAAAATACCCTATTATCTCCCCCACATAAATATATATTATGACTTACGATGATTAATTACTTAATTACTCCCATCGTCGAAGACCGTAGGTCAAAATTGTTTGCATGTCTCTTTCGTTTTCTTATTGATGATTAAAAGAAAGTAGAATGTAATAGAACAAAGTAGAAACCCAGCTTACACAGTGTGAAACAGGGATTGGGCTAAGATTACGCCAGGATACAGTCAAGATTTGTACGTGCTTGCATCCCTGGATACGATGATATTTAACCGTTTTAACCTTGGCTGCCAAGATTGCGCTGATTTATGTATAAACTGCAGAAATGTTAGCTAAATATGCTTTTTAAACTTAATATAATTTAATTAAAATAACTCATCTTTAATATCATGCTCTAGTTTAAACATAGCGTAAAAACAAACTATGTTGCATGAGTTAAAATTTTGTGAAACTTTTTAAAAGTTTGTGCTCTACTGCCGGTCCCGCTCGCCCATTGTCCACTTGTTCACATTCCTTCCTATTGTTTGCAAGTTAGCATCCCGGTCCTTCACCATTTATCTTAACAAGAAACTGTATCCAGTCACAGTAAAACAAGTGGGCCCACAGCAGCCAATTTTGTTCAATTGTGAGAAGTAGTAGATCTATAACTTTATTTATACAGAATCTTGAAACTTTGTCATTAAAATTAAATAAAAAGTAGTTATTTGAGGTAATGAGCCTAGGTCTATATTCTATTATCTAGATTCTATATTCTGCTTAATTATTTTGGCATTATTGCTAAACATAAAGCCAAGTGCTGACTAAACAAATCCTTTATATACAGAGTTCAAATAAACAGAGATACTGTACATAACCTGCCAATACGCTAGAAATGGGACGACATTTTTAGACATTCCTATGATACCTATGTACTTATGATGGTATCTTTTTTGGAGTTTTGTGTAGAGTTAGGCTTTTATTATAGTCTTAAAAAAAGAGTATCTAATCTAATCATTTATTGTATTACTCACTCATTTTATTATTATATTTAATAACTAATAATGCAATTTATTTTTAGGTCCATGTGTTGTGTGTATCAACAGCCCACTAGAGATAGTCTTTTAATACATATTAAGGTCCCACTGCTTGATACTCCACTAAATAATGGCTACAGCCGAAGATCACTAAATGTTTTTTAATAACTTAATATTGGACCAAGATATAGCCAATATTTCGCCAAGATATAGCCAATATTTGGCCAAGATATAGCCAATATTTGGCCAATATGTAGCAGATATATCCAATATTATGCCAAAATTGCGCCACATTCACGCTGAGTTTCACTACCAATGTTTGGCCAAGGTTAAGCCAATGTTGCACCAAAATGTAGCCAATATTGGTAACCAATGTGTGCTGACTGGAAAGAAATTGATCGAGTTAACTTTACTGTAAACAATATCGTTTTTTTTAAAACCTCGAGACCCCACCAAAAGTTTGGGTTTTTAAGAGATGGCCACCGTTGTCATGGCAACCATATGTTAAGAAGAATCCCTGGTGCATATAATTATTTCCCTTAATTACCCTAACACAAATAAATAAAAAGTGTTTTCCGGTTTTTTTTCCAGAGCTTCAACTTAATTGCTTAAAAGGAATAATACCTGTAGCTTTGGAAAGTGATCCACTTATTTCACCCTGAACTTTTGGTTTTGTAGTATATCGAGTCCATGGTGTCAAACCAGGCCCAGCGTCATGCATGTCCCTGAAATGATCAATCGATACTACTTATCTTTTAAAATAATTTTTTCTTATATTAGAGACGCATTTTGTAAATTTTAAATATTGATCAAACCACTGCAGCAGATTATGGACAATCTGGAAACAAGCTATGGAAACAAATCCAGTGAAAAATAGGCTGAAGTTGATGCATAACCATTGTTACTCAATATTTGACTCTTTTTCTGATAATACTGTATTCTATTCAGCTGCCAAATGCCAAATGCCAAATATGGGTCAACCATTGGTGGGGGGGGGGGGCGTCCGAAAAAATTTGACTTTTATGGACGGGGAGGGGTTGGGGGGAGAATGGGTCGATGTGGAAGTCCACATGTGGAATCAAACAACAAAATGCTTAAATTAGATACTTTTTTTTTAAATTAAAAGATGCATATAAAAAAAAAATCTTCATTATCCATTACATCGGCATTTCTCGTGGTAAATGTATGTTTACCACCCGCTTAAGAAAAAAAGCGTTTTTATTTTTTACAAGCAGGGAGGGGATGGGGAACTGGAAGTGACCGCGGCAATTATCTAAAACAATATGTTATTTCAAGTTTATTTAAATATTTCAAACCATTGTAACTAAATCAAAGTAGGCCTACATCATCATGTGTCAAAGCCTAAGATGATGTAAAGTAGTATTTTTTTTTTCAAGTAAAAAAACTCAAAACAACCACGTTTGAATTCCATATTAGTTTAGAAAGTTGAACGTTTTTCATCGCTGCTGATTCTAACTTGAACGTCATTGGCAGTGCCAATATTGTTAAACACATTATAGCTGCTTCAACCAGTAGACTATGTGCGAAAGTTCATAATGTTATTAATTGTCAAAGCATATTCTTGTAGAAAAGCAACAAGAATAATTTTTAAGCTGTGTGGAAGATATAATTTATTTGATGATTACGATTTTGAGCAAAATTCAATTCATGATAAACTTGTGGTTAAAATTTAAAGCCCTCATAGTCCACTTTGGCTCCACCAATACAATGCCCTATCTCGTTACCTTCAACCGACAAGCTTCATATTTGAATTCTCAAGAGATTTTTTTTTTAAACTCAAAACATATAATTTAGTGGTGCAGAAAATGAATATTTATTGAAAATCGACCATGAATTCAGCTAGGTTTGTGTTCTTATATTTTCCTTATCCATGCAGGTTAAAGGTTCTGCGGGTGTTAGATTAGAATTATTGCACACAACTCATGCAGTTATCACGGTCTCTTTAAGGTCCGTTTTATATATTCATCCGACCACTTTTCCTTTTTTTGCTGCGCATGGGAAGTATGAATGGATCAAAATATAAAGAAAGAAATTACTCGACGTACCATCAAAGGTCGACTACTGGGAGGATATAGAAATAAAAGTATGTTAGTCAGTGCATGTATATAAACGGTCAACGCACGCTTGTATAGTTGGCGTTTGCAATGATGGTAACGTTTGGGTGTCCTGACGTCATGGATTCTACGATAAGTGTTACTCGTTCTGGGGCACTTATTATAATTTTAGTGCCGTCTCGCTTTCTTATTGAAACTATTTTCGCACTTGAGTCGGGTGTGTGTTCCTTTTAGTCTTTTTTTTTAATTTAATTTTTTTTATAGTAAATTTATTTCCATTTCTTTTGTAATAAATTTGATAAATTTGATAACTAAGGTGGTTTAGCTGGTGAACGGAAAAAAAGTCACAGGAAAAAAAAACAGAAAAAAATCACAGTTTTTGCTCCTCAGTAGGCATTGTCCGAACATATTTTGTAATGTTGACGTTATGCGTCAATGACAACCTTTGAACCTTGTCGGCTTTCTGTTTTGATCGTAAGTTTTGTTATGTAATGAGCGTGATAAATGTAGGCAGTAAAGGTGGTTGAACTAAACATAACTATTGTTGCCATGAGTTGAGGGCAGCAAGTCAGATGAACTTACCATTTCACGGTAATTTAATATTGGTATTTTAAAAAAAAAACAAGATGAAAACCGTGGACTTTGCAGCTTTCTATTAAATGCTACTAATCTTAAGTTTAAAATAATTACAATGTACATAGTTCATAATAAATATTTTTAGATGAATTATAAAAATTCCTATGCGTATACAGCCTACACACATCACATTACATTTAATTAATCCTAGGTTAATTTGCACTCTCTAAATATTTAATACATTAAAGTATTAACAAATATCATGCAAATATATATTTGTGACTTTTTTCCTGTGACTTGTTTTCCTGTGACTTTTTTTCCTGTGACTTTTTTTCGGTTTTTTTTTCTGTTTTTTTTTCCTGTGACTTTTTTTCCTACAATCGGTTTAGCTATGAGTTGAGGGTAGCAAGTCACATTTAACTATGTGTTTAAGCTATTTCGCGCTAAGTTAAAATTTGTATTAATAGTATTTAAAAACACGATGAAAACCATAAAGTATTATTATATGTTGTGAAAGGATAAAAAAGGCACAGGAAAAAAAATTAAGTCAGTTTTTGCTAGGAAAAAGTCACAAAAATCTTTTTAGAAATATTTTGATTTATTTATTAAGAATTGTAAAGTTTATTTTTTGTGAGTTGTATTTTTTAATAGCATATATTATTTATAGACGTTAAAAACATTATGGTTTATAACAATTGTAAGTAAAAAATGATTTACACAACAATCTCAACTTTTGTTACTTATTTAGTTGAATACACGGTAGAAAATTTAATTATAAAAGAAAGAAGGCACATCGTGTTTTGCATATGTTTAGCCGTAGGCTATTCTGTGGTCAGCCTCTCCTCAGTAGGAACAAATGTCTCAACATATATTGTTTTGTTGACGTTTTGCTTCAATGAAAGCACTTGAACCTTGTCGGCTTTCTGTTTTGATCCTATGTTTTGTTATATAATGAGCATGATAAATGTGGGCAGTAAAGGTGGTTGAACTAAACATAACTAATGTTGCAATGAGTCAGCTGAACTTAACATTTCACGGTAATTCAATGATAGTATTTAAAAAAAAACACGATGAAAAAGGTGGACTTTGGAGCATTCGATTAAATTTAACATACCTACCAACAAGAGGACTACCTGGACACCTGCCCCACAGGTGTGTCGAGGCAGATGCACGATTATAGGGGCGGGTAACAGTCGGAAAGCAGGACAGTTGTGTCACCTCCTGGACCAACCAAGCGGAAGCTCCCCCTAGTGGGCACGCTGCGACGTAAGACCAGATGGTGTGTGTACAGATTAGAAGTTGCTACAGCGTGTGTAGTGGATGCGGTGTGTGATACGGGCAGCTGTCCAGTAACAAGTTAGCGGACCTTACTTAAAGAGCAAGTCGGGGTCACCTGTGCCTCGCTCCTATGGCCAGCACGGCGCTAGATTCCCCATCATTAGCGGGGGTGCTAATCTGAAAAAATGCAGGATGGACTATCTGGTTTTTGCCAGTAGCACTCAGATTGAAATGTTGGTGCCTACTAGCACCTACAACGCCCCTGAAATGTGTTGAAACTTTTATGTAAAATATATATATTCAGAGAGTGCTAATCAACTTACGATTTAAATGTGTAGGTTGTATGCTCATAGCAATATTTATTAAAAATATTTTGTATCAAATACGTAGGTTTTAATTCCGTTATTGGCCTATATGTACTAAATAAAATCGTGTTTCTTTTACACAATAAATTAAAATTAGCGTGAGATGACATAAAACGTAAATAATCTGACTTGCTGCATTCAACTCATAGTTCAACCGCCTTTTCTGACCACATTTTCACTCTCATTACATAACAAAGTATAGCGTCAAAACAGAAAAACACGGTACAAACTGTCATTGACGCAAAAGGTCAGCAACATACAATATGAACGGATTAGGCCGACAAAGGAAAAGCCGATCAAGGAATGGCAAAAAACAAATGCAAAACACAATGATGTGCCTAAATGTCTTTAATATTTTATTTCTTTTACTACCGCATATTTAGATAAATACGCAACAAAATTTGAGATTGCTGTATGTTATCTTAAAGTATTTTTATGTATTATTGTTTAAAAACAAATAAGTTTGCTTAAAAAAAAAACCTTTCAAAACAGTACACAACAATTAAAAAACTATTTCTTTAAAGATTTTTGTGACTTTTTTCGATAAAATTTTTCCTTTGTGACTTTTTTCCTAGCAAAAACTTTTTAAAAAATTTTCCTGTGACTTTTTCCCCTTTGTCGGCTTTCTGTTTTGATCCCATACTTTATTATGTATGAGTATGATAAATGTGGGCACGAAAGGTGGTTGAACTATTGTTGCAAGTCACATTAACTACGCCTCTATGTCATTTCACGCTAATTTAAATTTAGTATTTGAAAACGTGATGAAAACCGAAAAGGTTAGAACATTCTATTAAATATTAATAGAATATTAAAATCTACATCATCATTATCATCCTTCCTTTGTGGCCCCAGGGGAGCAAAGGTCCGCAACCACACATCTCCATTGGACTCGGTTTTGTGCTGCCCAGCTGCTTTCGCCTCTTCTTCAATCGTTCTTCTCCATGTCTTCCTTGGCCGACCCACCCTCCTTTTTCCCTGGGGATTCCAGTCTAAAGCATGCCTTGCGATGTTTTCTTTTTCCTTTCTTAATGTGTGTCCGATCCATCCCCATTTTCGGGCCTTGACATCTGTCTCTATTGGCTCTTGCTTTAAAGTTCGCCACAGGTGTTTGATATTTTGTCTAGCCATCTTATTTTAAGTATGTGTCGTAAGCATTTGCTTTCGAATGCCTGTAGCTTATCAGTATTTGTCTTCGTGACTCTCCAAGTTTCCGAGCTATAGAGCAGCACTGCCTTGACATTTGAATTGAAAATCGGGCGCAGTGAGTTGAAGGCACATCAGCCTTGTTGATACGACATTTTATGTCTGCTCCCCTGTCCTTATTGATCACGCTTCCCAGATATGTGAATGTTCTCCATTTAGCTGTATGGGCAGGTCCTGGCTGTTATTGATTCTGATAACATCTGTTTTATTTTTATTTATTTCAGTCCCACTTTGGAGGCTTCTTCAGATAGTTTGGCTTGCGTATGTTGATGCTTGTGAGATAGTAGGCAGATGTAATCGGCAAAATCAAGATCCTCTCGCCTTTTGGTGAAACTCCACTGGATTCCTTTTTTTTGGGGTTTTTTAACATGATCCAGTCGATTACAATCGTGTGTCATACATACCTATACAACATACGCCTATATATCTAAAAAAAATCTTTACATTACATTTGAATCGTAATTTGATTTCCATACAAATACTTATTTGTGACATTTTTCCTGTGACTTTTTTTCCTGTGATTTTTTTTCCATACAATCCTGGTGACACTAAACTTAATGACGCCACTGATCTGATAAATCAGGTAAGTTTTACTCACCTTTGTGTATTATCTTGGTAGACGCTTATGCTAGGCTGATGTTGCTTCCGTCTATCCATTTTATATTTAATTTTTCTAACACTTGATTGGGTTGATTTTTCTCTTTCTAGATCAATATGTAATATATCAGGGATATCATTCGCGTTCTGCTTTTGTCTAGCTGTAAATAAATAAACAAGCATTGAATGTATAAATGTTATGATTAGATTACACACATTTGGACACCCAAAACAACAAATTTAGAAAAAGCTTGAGCTGGGCCACTTGAAATCTTCCTGTTTGTAAACCTTTACTAAAACTATCAGCGACCCAAGACTTTTTCAAGGCTATATAAATTTCATTAATTTTCTCGTATACGAAATATAGAGAAAGTAATGAAATTTAATCGAGCAAAAAAAATCGAGATTTGTTTACAAATCTCTACGCTTTACATCTTCCTAATTCGGAAAAACATACTTTTGCAATTTTGTCCGTATGTCTGTGTGTGTATGTGTGTTTGTAAACACGATGAGAACCGTAACAGCTACGTTGAACAAATTTCATATATAAGTATTATATCACATTTGTTGCTCTGTTTCAACTTTTCAACGATTTGCGGTTAACGGAAGTGGAACTTATTCTCCTAATGGTTTTTCAGAAGCCTATAATTTGAAAACCGTTTCAGATATATAAACGAAATTTTACATATCTAATTCTCTGCCTTCTTTCAAATTTCCTTTGACCGGAAGTACTACTTTCACTATATATATTAAATTTAAAAAACAAACCCACCCTTACGTCGTCTTACCATCCACTATGCTATGTTACACCCTCCCTACAAGTTGGAATTGTTTTCACAAATTTAACACCCAAATAACTCCTTCCTATCGAATTATTGTTAGTCCAGGGGGATTAAATCCATTAGCGTCGACCATCGCCTATATTATCTTTAACACTACTTAAAGCATTGGCCCTACTATATTATAGTATTATATTGTAGGGAGGGTCTAACATAGCACAGTGGATGGTAAGACACAGACGATGTAAGGGTGGTTTTTTTTTTTAAGTTTAGAGGGTGTGGAAGCTTTAGACGACCAAGGTTCATTTCAGTTATATTCAAGGTTTAAATAGTTTGGTATCACCAAACTTTAAAGAGCTTTATTACCGTGGTTTCGAGACAAAAATTCTCAAATTCAATGCACACTCTCACCTGTATTAGTTACACGATAGAAATTTTCTTTTGACGGGGCTCTTATGTCGGGCTGATTTGTCGGGGTCGTAATGACAGGGCCGTTTTGTCATTGGCTGTTTTGACGCCGCACGACTACTTGTAAAAACTTAAAACACACATTGTTTTTTTTTTATTTTTTTAAAACTAACTCCCATTTAGTTGGCCCCAGGCATCTACAAGGTCTGCAGCACTTGTCCCCTAAAAATTGCATTTAAAAAACAGCGATTCTTTTTTCGATTTTATTTTTTGAGCTCAGCCAACAATGAGTATAACACTCAATTTCTATGACATTTTCAAAAATATGCCTATTTCGTATATTACTTTTTAAAATGTAATTGAAAACTGCGCAACGAAAATTGCGCGCAATGGCATTTTTTTTTCCTAAATCGAACATTTATAGACAGTAACAACATAATAAAATATATTTCCACGAAACATGACACAAGCGTATTAGTACAAATAGTTTGTACTACGCAGGTTTCCGATTGAGCATTTTTCTGGAAACCAGTGTTAACCACCTTTACAATAGAAGAAGAATTTAATGTTCATGAAAATGTTTTGAATTTTGAAGTGGGATAGTTTCGTTATGTTTACACAGTTGATCGAATTTGTTTTGGTTTTGGTTTAATTTGTCAATTAAAAAAACAAAAAAATTAACGTATTATTTCAAGACCATCTTTTTTGTAGGTAGGTTTGTAGTGACGGTTGAAATATATGAAAGTACACAAACCTTCTACAGATGAAAGCCATGTTTCAGGTGAGTTATCTTGCTTTAATCTGGTATTATTATGCCACAAGACCAGTTCGGGTCGACTAAATGGGCTTCTATCTCTATTTCCTGCATCTGTTGGAGTGCTAGACAATTTACTGGTCACAATGTTTGATGGCACTTTTATTACCTCAACAACTGAGCGTTGTGCTGTTTTTTCTTGACCTGTCTGAACTGAATTATCCAAAACATTAAACGGGCTGTGTTTCTGATTGTTATTACTCTGCGATTCACAAAGCACAATCAGAGAAGCTATACCTGTTATTATTAAACATTTCATCATGATTCTAAATTATCAAGTTTCAGGAGTGCAATCATACAATAAAAGACTGGATTTGAATGGAGTATGTTATGGTTCTCATGGACTCCTAACTTATAGGTTATATTGTTTACCGTACCGAGTTCAAACTTTCACTGTGTGGGCATGTTTAAATAAAGACGCCGAAGAAATCGTGACTGTTGGGCTGAGGCAAAGCTTTCTTCAAATATTAGTCTTCCCTGAAATGTGCCGTTTTCAGGGCTATGGTGCGGTGTTTTTCTAGTCTTATATTCCACTAGCTCAGTGACTCTTAACCTACTGCAAGCTTACTTCTCTGTATATATCTTATGATACTTGGTATCATAAGACTAACATTTATTTGTCTATTTAAAAGTGGTCTGCATGCAGTTCCTTTCAGGCACCTCTTCGTGAACTTACTTCTCTGTTTGTTCCTACTTGAAGCTAACATGTCAGTTCACTTCTCTGTATATCCATCTAGCTCGGCGGCTTCTAATATTCTATACGCATATACACAAACAAGAGCAGTACAACACCAAACATTTTTAAAACTGTTGTTGCCTTCTTGTAAGCATTAAAACAAACGTCACCACCTTCCCACCTAACTGCAGTAATGCATTCTTTTAACAACATTAAATTTAATTCATCACACACATCATGACGATAATCTGAAATGTACAGCTACCTATAACTGAGTTATAGATAATATAGGGCAGTACCATAACAACACCTAATCTGTGCATGGCATTGGTCGATTCTGGTGAACAGCATAAGAAACTATACTCCATGGAACCCATAATAAGAATGATGTTGCGCTTCTTTATTGGATCCCCGCCCCGTCCCCTTCCGTCCCCATCCGCCACCCACCGTCGCTCATTTCTGACAAGTTTTCTTTTTGCAATAATCTTTAACAAGGAAAATAAACTTTTAAAATACATCTTTTAAAAATGCGAAAATATAAATTTTACAGGAGAGACAAAAACTGATTATTTCATTTAACATCGCTCTTATTTCATTATAGGTGCGGAGAAACTCTCTACAGGCTATACCAGTGGTTCACAAACTTTTTCGAGTGGCGACCCCCTTTTATAAAATGGAAGTGACCCGCGACCCCCATATAATTAAAAAGTCGAAATTAGTAAAGAAATTAATATTTTCTAAAATAATATTATCTATTAGTTCATTTTCCCAGAAGCTTCAGATTATGATTGTGTATGATTCTCTCTTCCAGTGTTTCTTCAAGATTTTTTCTCCGAAGGGAAGGGGGGGGGGGGGAGGAGGGGGGAACCTGAAAGGAGCGGACACAATTTTCTTGGGGGGGGGACACTGTTTAGTATATATATTTCCTACATAAATTCCATTTTGTTGGGTGGTGGGGGGCGATGACATACCGGTAAAGGATTCTCCTTGGTTAGGGAGCTAGATCTTTTAATGTTTTCTGAAAGCCCGAATTGGAAGTAAACATCGATGGCGCACCATCCGTACAAACCGCACAGCCGTTTTCCCATTTTAATCCTCCAGTTTAAAAAAACTTAGTTATTTTCTCCATCTTTACAAAATAGCAACTTTTCTTTGCTATCATCTGAATGAATAATTTTTACACATACAAAGCACCTACGAACATGAACTCACGTCTTTTGATTCATCAACTTTAAAAAGCAAACAATGGTGAAGGTTTGATTTAATTCAAAATGTGTTCTTTTACATCTACGGACATGTCTGCTATAAGCAGCTGAATAGTATTACAAAACAGAGATATTTGTTGCATCTTTACTGCACTGGAATCCCTAAGAATTATTTTCACTATCTTCAACATGCATGATTTGGTGAATTTATATTATTATTTTTTTTTTACTTGGCAATTTCTTTATAACTTTATAAGATGCTTGCACTAATGTTGTGTTTCTTTGGTGAAAACATCCTGTTCTTTTAAGTCTCTGACATTTGCGACTAGCTTCACGCCAACGAAAGAGCTCCATATCTTTTTTGGTGTGTTCCGAATGACTCGTCTCAAAATGAGGTTTAAGTTTTAAGATTTCCTGACTGAGAACAACTTAGCACAGAATGCATTGTTTCTTCTCTATTCCATTTCTAGTGATGTTAGTAACGCCTAATTTTTGATACTCTTCTAAATATTTAAGTTTTGTTTCTTATTGCTAAGGTTTAGTATACCAGTCGGCGACCCCCAAAAAGCCCTTTGAGAACCCGTGGGCTATACTTAAGCGTTTTAAAATGAGGTTTGTTAATATTTACAAAATTATAGCAGTTTTTAAAAGATAACCGGTTTGTACAAGGAACGTAATATAATATCTAGAATGTAAATTGAGGTCATATTTTTATTATTTATGTTTATTCTACATAATGTGTAGAATCAACCTAAATATGTAATAAATTTTTAAAAGGATGTTTATGAATGGTATTAATTAGTAATTACTTACTTATGGTTTACTCATCTTAATAAAAATCGGCATCATAAGAAAAATGAAACCAAATAAAAAGTTTTTTTTTAAGTCACATGAGAAAATATTAAAGTTGGTAAAATGTTTTAAAACTGGGCAAATTATCAAATGACAACTTTCATCTTTCTTCTTCTTGTACAAATGGTCAGGGGTCTATTGTAAAGGATATCCCTACAATAAAAAAAATTTGCTTAATTACTCTACAAATGTCGATAAACTTCACCAACGTATCATACAAAATGAAAGACCGCGTTTATTAGGGAAATATCAATAACTACTAAATCACTACCCTTCATTGCCTTCAACGATTCCCCGTCCTTTCTCCACGAAAAGAAAAAGAAAAAATAAATGCAGATCCCCACACGCTACTGAATGTTAATTTTGTTATACCAAGACAAGTACATATACGACAATAACAAGAAATTCAGGACTAGCGCTCATCAAGTTTCTGTCTACTATAGGCATACCGTCTGCTCACTAAAAAGTATGTCTTCATCGGTCCGCATGCAATAGGGTATCTCTTTACGTGTTTCCCAAATATACATCCCATTACGGGTCGGGGGCTAATTCGCGTCCAACTATCTCCCGTCACCTCAGGTCAAATGCGAGGCGGTCGTACCCAGCACACAGAGACGTTTATATCGAATTTCGCCTTTACTAGTTCAGCTGGGTATTAACTCATTAACATCAACCGTGGTCTCAGCGATAGCAATCAACAACGTCGGCATTCGATCATTTATTTTTTCCCAATTCAATTCAGCAACAGTTATTTAAGTTAACAAACTAGTTCAGATAACAACGACAGTGCTGAAGCGCGGGGCCCTTTCAAGATCGGGCCAGGGGCGACCGCCCCGTTTGCCATCCCCTAACGCCGGCTATAACAGTATTACATTTATTTCATACTAGCCGTCCCGGACAGGCCCTGCTCTGGCCTGTGAAAAATCTTTCTGTTAAAGACCATTACCTGTGTGTTTATTAATCATCATAAACCCGGCATTGCCCACCCAAACCACAACCAACCAAAACCTAAACAACAAAACGCAAACATAACGCTAACACAATTACAAATACAAACGAAAACAAAAACCTAACAACAAACCCAACCACAACCACAAACACCAATACGAACACAAAGAAAAAAAACCGAAAAAGCAAACGAAAACAAACCAAATCCAAACGCAAAACCAACCACAAATACAAATCCAAAGAAAAAACAAACGAAAACGAAAAAAGAAATAACAAAAACGAACCAAAACGCAACCACTAACGCAAACCCAACCTAAACACAAAGAAAACAAAAAACGCGTACATAAACGTAAAGTGCTCACAGTCTAGCCCGGGACGGAATCGCCTGTTTCAGCTTAATAAACGACTATAGTACCCCAACTTATTCATGGTCTTTTGCACTCACTTAAACGAACGTTGTCGCCAAACTGAACACGGGAGGCCCGGGGCCCCAAATAGCACCCTGTCTGGGCACCAGAGGACGCCCGGATTCGATTCACTTAAAGACTATAGTAACCTTTCTTATCCATACTCTATCGCACTGTTTAAAGCGAAATTATGCACCATAGCGCTCAGAGGATAGCTCAGAGCGCCAAATTGAACCCTGGTGGGGCGCCGGCGGACGCGCCTGTTTCAATTTAATGAACAATTATAATACTCCAAACTTAACCGTAAAATACCTACAACATTTGTACTTGATCAATCCCCGCTAATTATGTAAATATTTTTTTCTCAACACCAAAACAAAGCAATAAAAAGTAAATTCTTTTCCACTAATGCAATGTTTTATAAAGGGAAGTAATTGTGTTTTCCTAATTTATCAAAGGGAAGTAAGTGCTAAAGGACTAAATATAAATAATTTTCAGACATAATAAGAATTTTTATTTTGTAAAAATTGTGTTTAATGAACATGCCGACAATTATTACTATCAGTTTGAAAAATGAAAATTATTTCCCAACACTTTCAATAGTAATTTTTTTAACTCATAAATTAAGACTATGAGCACGATAATAATCTAACACTTAAATCCATTGAAGTATGTCCACGAAAAACTTTTTATATGTTACACACAGAATTGAGCTTTATAAATTAGATTAGCCTGTCTCACTAGATTAAGTTGTTGTTTGAGTATCACTAGGTTACATGTTTCATGAATACAAACATGAAAAACGAACATTAAATTTTACTTAACGATGCAAGTCGTCATAGCCTGTCTACAGGAAGTACAGGTCAAAGTGTAGTTGTTCATATTCGACAGCTTTTTGTCTATCTCCTGCACTTGTACAATTATCAGCTTATTGACTGAAGTAAAAAGTAGCATCAGGGTTGTACTGCAGTACACGAATATCTCTTGAAAGGTCAGACGGGTCGGTTGAGAGAGGCTGTATGATATATGATAGGGCGTGTTGATATATTGTATTTTAAGATATGTATGTTATATTTTTTTTATTTATTTATGTTATATCTAGTTATTTACATATTGTATGTCTATTGAGAGAGGCTGTTATGTCATTCAACATCATTTTTCTTTTGTAGCACATGGGGAGCAGAGAGCTACAGTTACACTTTTCCAGCGGCCTCGGTTTTGGGCTGCTCCCTTTGTATGTGCC